TTGAGAAGATTGTAGAGAACAGAGTGTAATGGAGACGTGATACTGAAGCCTTATGTTCCACTAGGAACCCAAGGGAAAAATAATAATGATAATATTAATAACTTATTAGGCTATGAACTACACTAATTTTGTGGGGGTTATGATACTTCCCAGTTGTCCACGTTGAAACGGATTTTAAAGCTAGAAAGGTCGATTACTTCTACTACTGAATGAAATAATTTTCAATCTCTGGAGAAACATGTGTTTCTTGCCACGTTACAAGTGAATTTTACTAATCACTGTCCACAAAACGTCGAACTCAACTCATTGGTTAACATTTTAACGTGCATCACACATTAATTTGTAATCACTTATACAGGTGAAATGAAATAAGTATTAGGTAATCTCATAAATACAAATGGCAATAACTTTAAATACGATTTTCATTCGTGTTATAAACTTTCTTAATATTCATTATAAGGAACTATTTCAAGTTGTAAAAGTAGTAGGTTTCATACCCTTTACCTTTGAAGTGAAGATAGGAAGGAGTAAGAAAAGGTTGCCACCTACTATCATCAATCATCTTCCTCATTTTGATCGACTTGACTCCATTGGATCATGCAACAAACAACTGCAAGGAGCTGTAAGAAGATGTGCATATGCTGTTTAACCGATGAAAAGACCCCAGAAAAAGATTTGGATTTCCCGAACGATGATGATTTATGTCTAATATCTTATGTCACACAAAGCCGAAGATCTACGGGCGAAAACTAACAAGTTGGTAAAAGAGGTAGGGTGGACAGGGCAGCGGGGACGGCACTCGCTTCAGGTGAACGTAGAGAAGATAGAGATGATGAAGATACCCAACCAACCAACCAACAACAACCACAAATCACCATTAATGGGAGGAATTTGAAGCAAGTTGCCTCTTTCACCTACCTAACTAGACAGCGTCGTCTCAACTACCGGTGGCACAGGCACAGATGACAATGTCACAGCCAGCCAGGATCAGAAAGATAGGAAGATAGGACTTCATCAATCTGAAATAACCAATGTAGAGATCTATTCCACTCCACTGCACTGCACTCAGCATAAAGAGTGAACAACATCCCGATTTTCAACACTAAGTCAGTCAAGTGAGTCAGTGCGTCTGTGATGGTTCACAGACTTGGCACCTTCCGAAAAGTAGTTCCAACAAACTCCAGACATACATGAACAGCTGTCGTCTACGTTCACTCCATACTAAAGATCGATCAGATGGTAGAATAATTAGAATAAGCAACAAGGAACTCTGACCTGCCAACGAATCAAACAACTAAGAACCTATCACCCAAAAATATGCAGAATAAGAAAGTGGAGATGGACTGGATCGGACATACACCGAGAAGACGGTTTGGGGACATCACGTGCCACGACAGTCAACGAGTGGAATCCAAATGGGAAACGGCGAGTTGGGCATCCGAGGCGTGGGTGACACGTAGGAGATCGTGTGAGGAAGAAATGAAAACTTATGGGAAGCCGTAGAGCCTAGTAGAAAGAGATGAGTGTAGAGCAGAGAATGAAATGGCAAAGTGCTACTGAAGCTTCATGTTCCATTAGGAACCGAAGAGACAAATAATAATATAATAAATACCCTTTTCGTCTGGATGAGTGAATTAATGTTGTATTCCCCTCAACCTTTTTGTAAACTGTGGTTCACTGATACAGGCAGTTGACTTTCAACTCAGTTAGTCAATATCAACATAGAACTCAGGATTACTGTGTTACACTCAAAAGTCGCCATATATTTCATATCAAGTCAGAATGCAGGGCATCAAGCTGACAGATAGAGAAACAGGGAGTAAAGTAATCGAAAGTGGGCGGGTAGGAGGTAGATAAAAAGAGAAGAATGAGATTGATTTGTAACGCAGACCTAAACTGGGAAGTCTACTCAGTTCTTGTGCGTTATCAGAAAGGATACCAACACTCACTAGTATGCATATATACATATACCTGATGAGCACTCAGTAGGACGAAACACGTGTCGTTAAACTTAGTGTTCAGCATCACTAAACTAAGGGCAGAAAGCCACGGAATAATTTCCCTTGACGTACACTGGATAATAAAGTGTCTTGTGATCTACCCAACTTATCTAGCAAACAGAAAATGAAAATCTGTCATCAGTCATATTGTGAAACAATTCACACGCCCTAAGTACTTCACTTTATTTAAGAAAGTTTATGAAACCTTTCAGCGTCAAATAATTTCCCTAAATCAATAGCCTACGGTTTGATAAGATTAAACAATGATCCTAATCTTCATAGTTTCAACGAACTAGCTAACCTGAAGGTATACGGTCAACCATTAACGCTATTCGGCACATTGCGTTGTTCTTACATAATCTTTTAAGTCAATTAGTCGGAATGCATCAAGTATACTATTCTTATCTAACTGTTCTATTGTGTTCTTTCTTGGTCCGGTATGTGTGGCTATTCTACAAATGCTATTTAAAATTGGTCGTCTAAAAAGTATCTGTATAGAAATGAGGTAGTAGGAATAAATAGTCTTGAAGTATATCAATGAGTAGTTCATTTTTCATGCTATCAACCTTTGTTTACCTTTTTATTCTAGATCAGCGTTTATTTGATAGTAGTCCTACTAAAGTCATATATCATTACGCAATGTACTTTGAAGGTTAACTGAAAATTATTCTTGAAGATTCTCTCTTTTGCCGGATACATTTAGGGATAAACAAATCAATGAAACATTTTCACTATTCTCAGCCAGTAGAAACCAGAATAGGTAGACTTTATTTATGAAATAAACGGCTACCTAATGATGGTAATTACACATTTCCCTATACATTCCAACAAGTACTACTGGTACCTTCGGAGCACAAGATATATGTCATGATGCAATTACGTCAGTAATGCAAAAGTCAGGTGTAGAGTTTTAGGCAGAAAATGGAAGTAAATTGATAAGTTTTTGAACCTTCATCATATGAGATTACCTAAGCATATACGTGACCCACCCTTAATCACCTTCTGCTTCATTACACAATGCTAAGTTCAAGCTAGAAAAGTATTAGACACGGCTAGATTAAAACTCAGCATCATTGTAGAGAGAGAGAGAGTATAGACTTATTATTTGGGGTCTATGTTACACTCTGAATCGGTTACTAAAGACTTTAGAAGATATGACTTAGAATTGTTCTCACTATCATAAATCCTTCTACATACTACTTTATCATAATGAATCTCATCATTGTTCCACTCTTTCTTGTTCTCATTTTACAACTTTCTATAGATTTTTTGCTCCGGTTTCTTTTGTATCTCTATGCCTCCCACCTTAGATGTACTAGTACGATGTGTGACTGTTACATAGGTTCGATGTTTATATTGACTGACTATAACGCTGTAGTGTTGCTTCAACCTAGGCAACTTTTGTAATCTCCAGGCTAGTCAATAGCTCATAGCCGTGAAAGAAACTCACTCTCACTTTCAACTTTAGATATTTACAATACAGTGAATATTTTCAACTGATAAGAGTTATAACAAACTAAAGAGAAACAAAGATGTGTAATATAGCTTGAAGTTTATGAGGATTTTTATTCTTAAAGTAGTACTTATCACGGACTGATATTGGTTAGAGAACTATTGAAAACCAGGTAACACTAAACAACTATTTCCTCCTAGTGTAAGACATCTCGACAGTATGCATCACGACCCCCTCAGGAGTTAGGTGGTCACTTTTACGTTCTACCGCAACTGTCCATTAAAGTCTTCAGCTGGCATCCGCTTCACTTCCAATTGCTTGACCCTAAAGATTTGTCATAAGAACACTTCAGGATATCTATCAAGAAGCATGTCACTAATGAGCACTAAGACAGTAACGCAGTTTGTGGTTTATGAGGGTTTTCGTCGACAGAAGTAGGAAACTGTGGATAGTTGAACACCGACCCTATGAATGAATAGTTAATGAGTTTGCTGTGAAACTTTAAGGTCCTGAGTTCAATCCCTAGCCAGGTCATGGGTACGCACTGTTGAGGATACCCATACTAGGACGAAGTAGTCTTCAAAAGCTTCACTTCTATTCACTTATTAACGCTCAAAACAAACAGTCACTTAATGGAAGGTTAATTTATAAGTTATTTACAAATTGCACGATTCACGTTGACTTTTTCTTCCGGCTAATCGGTTTTTCAAGTACCTGACTGCATTGTCGATAAGATTTCTGTTGGAAACGATACAACTAAGATTAAAAATTCTGATCTGTGATACTAAAGTCTCATGAAGAAAAAAAAGTATTTACAAGCCAGTTATGATGATGTATAGTTCATACCAGTCCAGAACATGTAGATCTAAACAGCAGATAGGCGCTCATTTGGCTCATCTGACAACAATTCATATGAGTCAGCTAATAAGATTTACTTGGTTTGAACAATTTGGTTCACCTATGAGGTAGATTAGTCAGGATGAACTACTGATGAGTTTGACTCTAAACGAGGGAAACAGATCACTTTTATATGTCTACTGAAATCTACAAATCAGAGTAAGCGGTTCCTAAGTACTCAAGTTGTTGTTAGTTCATAACACAGCTTGTGATTACTGACAGGGATGGGTAGGGGGAGGTTTGTTCTCAGTCAAAACGTTGTTGTCACCACAGTTGAGAAAGATAATTGTTGTAAGCAATATGCAAATCGGTCATTCAACACTCAAGGTTTTTATTACTCACGTTATTTAACAGTAGACAGTTCAACTGACATCTTGTAGGTATCGACAAATCAATAGTCAAGTACAAACGACGTTTACTAGTAAGGCGTATAGACAGAATCTATAGTCATATCAGAATGTGAAGGCTGAGATTGTAACTCAAAATACAAATGAGTTATATTGAATCGAGAAAAAGTTTATACATCATAAGATCGACACATGTAAACAAATAAAAAAAAATTAATCTGGAGAAAAAATATTCATTTTGATTCGATAAAAAATAAATAATTTTCTCCATGATAAAGAAACAAAACTTCGATCAAAACTTACCTGAGGAGGACCAAAAAGAATGAGGATCTAAAAAGGAAATTATAATCATATAAACGTTTTCAGCAAGAAAAGGATAGTGTACCACCAGTCAGTCAGTCAGTCAGTCAGTCAGTCAGTCAGTCAGTCAGTCAGTCAGTCAGTCAGTCAGTCAGTCAGTCAATCAGTCAGTCAGTCAGTCGGTCAGCCAGTCAGTCTTGTTTTATTCTGATTATCTTGTATCCACTTCAGATAGGATGAATACAGTACATTGTTTCTTTCTTCAAGCCAAGACTCATTAAAAAAGCAAATTAATAAATAAGACAAGGGTAGAATGTTTTGATTATATAAGAGCGTTAGAATGTGTAATAAAGTGTGAAAAAATAGGTTACATGGTGTTCAGAGAGACATAACTTGAAAAAGGACACTAATGTTACGTGATATTGGAGAATGATAAATGAAGTTTGAATGTGAATATAGTAGTGATGAGAAAAGGTTGACAAAAATAAAATAATTCAAGTTGTTATTCATCGAAGACCGACATCAGTTGGAGGAACAAAGCAAACCTGGGAGCAATGGACAGCTGTTTCGTCCGACTAGTATGGGACTCCTCAGCAGTGCGCACCCACGACCCCACCAGCAGGGATCGAACCCGCGACCTTCAGGTTCCGCGACCAGCGCGTTATCATTGAGCCACTGGGTCAGAATCCAATGCTCCATATTTCCAACCCAGTGGCTCAATGGTAACGCGCTGGTCGCGGAACCTGAAGGTCGCGGGTTCGATCCCTGCTGGTGGGGTCGTGGGTGCGCACTGCTGAGGAGTCCCATACTAGTCGGACGAAACAGCTGTCCATTGCTCCCAGGTTTGCTTTGTTCCTCCAACTGATGTCGGTCTTCGATGAATAACAACTTGAAATATTTCCAAATCTCCACAACCCCCTCAAAAAAAATAAAATAAGACTATTGTGAAAATCTATTAGGAAAGTGAACAACAGTTTTAGATATCTTAGTTTACTTGGTGGCTAGCAGTGGAATCCAGGATATGCATTTCGTCACACTTAGGGCTTATCAACTAGATGTGTGTACCCTAGTGATTTTGTTACCATCTACCAACAGAGGTCGAACAATTCAACCCACCATAACAACGGGAAATTACAAGTATCAATCGACAACACCATTAATAGATAATTCATTCAGTATATTATCAACAAAGTAATACTTCACTCTTCAAAAAGAATTCTATACATATCTGTTAAATCCAGAGAGATCGTGAGTTGTGTCAGAAGCTATTTGCTCAATCCCTTCTGCTTGAATGGTCCTAATAATGCTTATCAAAGCTTTCTACTCGAACTCATCCAGCCGTGTAAAGGGGGTTATGAAGAGTTGTCAAGTGAGTTGATGACAACTAGTGATGTCCGCCATCGATGTTCACTAGCACCATTCCTGTTTAACTTAATCACAGACATACTGATGAAAGTAACACCTTAGGTATGTCTGACTTCACACGAATTGATCTACTCACTAAAGGGTATTTGGTTGACTTGAAGTATGCAGACGAAATTTCTCTGTTAGGTGAAGGCGCTGACAAAATGCAGAGTTCACTGAAACTGTTGAGCAGAAATCTGATTATATCTAGCATTTATTTCGCTGGTACCTGTTAAATGTAAGATGATGCTCCAGAACTGGTATGCCGCAAGTAATCTCAGTTTAATGATAAGGAGTGAAGTGGTGGAGGATGTTGACCGCTATATTTACTTGAGGAGTTGCATCAGCTCGAACGAGCTGGTTGCTGATGAAATTTGTTGCTGGGATACAGGAGACCTATTTGGCATTTGCTAACTTGAGTCATTTGTGGCCCCCAGCCAAATATCCCACTATCTATTAATTGACGTATACACTGCACCACTGAATTTCATTTTATCCTGTTATATGCCTGTAGGAGACGTGAAGCGGTTACAAAGTTTTGATCATAAGTATCTTCGCAGGATTGCTAGTGTTTGGTGGGATCACCATGTGACCACTGTTGAGGTAAGACGAAGGGTACTAGGGAAGGTATGTATGTCAGTCAATGAGGTTGTGAACCTTCAGCGACTGAGGTGGCTTGGACATCTGCTGCGCATGCTGAGAATAGTTGCCGAGATGATAGGAATCAGTGGTTGAAGACTCTCGATAGAATCGGTTACAATGGCGTAGATGCTATCACTCTTTGATGTCTTCTAAAGCTTGAGTCATTTCACTAACCTTCACTTTTAAATTTCCTCTCCTCTCATACACTTTTGATTACTTTGATATGAGTCTTTTTCTATATACCTGTTTTTTTATTACTTGTACTTTGAAGTGTGATAACTTGAATCGACGTATTTGTGTGCAAGTTTCTACGTTGATGTTGTCTGTGGAGAATACTCGTAGCTCATGTGGATGGTCTTGGTTGTATTATGTTCTCTGAGGTGAGTTGTTTAATCGTGGAGCTTCATCGTCTTTCTAGACGACATCATCAACAATAACCATCAATCACAAACCAGCTCATCAGGGCAAGCTACTAAATCACTTACGGAGAGGTATTGACAGCTCACTTCATACTGAAGTTAATGCTGATGTCGCTGTCGAGAGGGACGATGAAAGCTAGGAGAATACAACACAACCATGCTTTATGCGTCTCAATTCACTGTAACACTTACTGATTTCTCGTATGACAATCTCTTATTTATTTCGAGATGAATAGGGATTTTTAATTCAGGGGTAGTATTCATCACTGATTGACATCAGTTGGGGGACCAGTGCAACCATGGAACACCTCAGCAGTAATGGATACCAAACTGAAGACCTTGAATGATAGTCACGCTTTATCATAAATTTATAGAAGTTGGAAACTGTGAACAACTGAAAACTAACCCAGTGGCTGAATGGTTAACGTGTTCATCGTGAAACCACCTTAAGGTCTCGAGTTCGATCCCTAGCCAGGTCGTGGGTGCGTACTATTGAAGAGTCCCATACTAGGACGAAACAGCTGTTGAAGGCTCCCCAATTTAAAATGGTTTCTCAACTGGTGTTAGTCTATAATGAATGCTACCTATAAATTTCTTATGTGTTATTCAGCTTCTATGTTTTCCACTTGTAATCCATGTTTCATGTTCACATGTGAATTTCATGTCTGAATGAATTGAATTGAAAGATCTGAATAGGTTCACTGCATAGACTTCACTCTTATATATGATGAAAGTATCATCTACATATCTTAAATACAGTTTTATCTCTATCATGACATCACTTAGTTTGGTATACTTTAAGTGGGCTGGAAATAAATATGTCTGTCAATATGAGCCCAAGTGGACTGTCTGTCTGTCTGTCTGTCTGTAACACGAAGCATTAAATTGGAGTTGCACATTTTTTGTGCGCATGACATCAATAAATCTTTCAGTTTGTTAGATGGAAAATCTATCATGTCAGCATGACTATATATGATATGAATTGTTTCTTCAAGTGGTCATCATCATCATCATCATCATCATCATTATACAAATCAACATAGGACCAGGCATTACAGGGTAACCCTTCCAGTTGCCACACCTCATATCACCACATCAAGCAAAAAGCCAGTGAAGTGGAAAATGAAGAGGGAAAAACACTCAGTTAAAAGAAATATAAAGTACTAAAAGACAAAAAGGAAGAATGAGAAAATGGTGAGATTCGGTATAGCGTCGTTAAGATGAGGATAATGAGGATAGTGTGTGTGGGGATACATCTGCACCACTCACATCGGTTCTCACCCATGTGATCACCTAAAGTCCTTCTCTCCCCAACCACTAGTTTCTCTGATCCCATGGACCCAAACCACCTAGTCTGCATCACCCTACATGGCTTAAACCAACAGTCAAACACTTCATACATTGATCCCATGTTATATAGTCTCGCCACCTCAAGACTTATTCCACCCTAAATCTACTTCGGCCAACATCGTATGACGAGGCAATCAGCGACTAGGCATACGTAACACACGTCTGAACCAACAATCTCAGTCAATGAAGGTTCACAACTTCATCAACCGACTTACTTCTTCTCCCTTAAACTCTACAACTGACTTCTACATTACTCATGTGGTGACACCACGGAATACGGTCTATACTACGAAGACAACGGTGGTCAAACACCTGCACCCAGTCTTCTCATGTCTTCCACTTTCAATGGCCATGTTTCACACCCATACAGTACAACAGAGTGCACTGCTGTGCAGTACATGCAACCCTCAATAGACAATCGGATATCACGGCAATGGCGCCACAGGTCGAGTAGGTTGTCAAAAGCCAACCGAGTTTTTTGTATTGGTGCAGAGATTTCATCGGCCACTAGGTTACCAGATGCGGGCTGATCCCACTTCCCAAGTAGGTGAAATGGTCAACACACTCAATCACTATACCCTCTACTGTTAGTGGTGTCACTGTTGAAGACCAATCCTGGAGTAACAAATTGCATTTGGGTGGTGAGAAACGTATCCCAAACATTCTCAAATTGCCACTCAAAGTGTTCAGAAGACTCTGCATCGTGGTCAGCACCTTCACCTAACAGGCGGATGTAGTTCGGCGATCACAGCTTCGCGGATATCTCATCACAGGCTCTAAAACTCCTACAAGTGTTCGAGTAGAGAGCCTTCAATAAGGTGTTGTACTTACTCAGCACACATTTCAGTTAGAGATGTTGCCATAAGACTTCTCAATTAATGGAGTCGAATGCCATGGTACTTTCGTGGATACTGATTCAATGTCAAAAGAAACCATGTGGTCTTTGCTGATATTAATATGAACAATCCCATTAACAAATTAAAAACTATGCTTCAAAGTATAGGCAGCTAGCACTTTACTGACAGACTCAATTAATTATGCAAACCATTGAGCAAGTTCATGATATGAGAAGTTCGACATGGCCAATACATGACGTAAAAATATTCCTGCCTTATGTATCTTGGGAAGATCGTACATTCTTGGTAAATGTTTACCTCGGCTTCTTAACGTCCACGTTTCCATGTATATCCTGTTTAGGTTTAAAGGATGTATTTG